GGGCTGGGCACAGTGGCTCACGCCAGTAATCTCAGCACTTTGGGAGGCCAAGGTGGGAGGATCACTTGAGTCCAGGAGTTCAAGATCACCCTGAGCAACATAGTAAGACCCTGTCTCACCCTGCACAAAAAAATTTTTTAAATTAGCTAGGGGTGGCCGGGCACGGTGGCTCAAGCCTGTAATCCCAGCACTTTGGGAGGCCGAGGCGGGTGGATCACAAGGTCAAGAGATCGAGACCATCTTGGTCAACATGGTGAAACCCCGTCTCTACTAAAAATACAAAAAAAATAGCTGGGCATGGTGGTGCGTGCCTGTAATACCAGCTACTCAGGAGGCTGAGGCAGGAGAATTGCCTGAACCCAGGAGGCGGAGGTTGCGGTGAGCCGAGATCGCACCATTGCACTCCAGCCTGGGTAACAAGAGCGAAACTCCGTCTCAAAAAAAAAAAAAAAAAAAAAAAAAAAAAAAAAAAAATTAGCTAGGGGTGGTAGTGTATAACTGCAGTCCCAGCTACATGGAAGATTGAGGTTGGAGGATCGCTTGAGTTCAGGTGGTCAAGGCTACAGTGGGCCTTGATTGTACCACTGTACTCCAGACTCAGTGACAGAAAAAGACCCTGTCTCAAAAAAAGAGAAGTGAAAGCCAGGAAATGGTTTTTCCAGATACATATTTTGAAAAATTACTCCAGAAGCTACTAGGAGTACCCTAAAGCGAAGACCAGATTGGAAAGAAGAAAATCAGGTCTGTGAGAGAGACAAGGTAAAAAAACACAACCTAGGTTAGGTGACAGGTAATGGTAACCTGAGTTGGAGTGGTAACAGAGAGGATAAGTCTAAGAATGCAGTCCTTGGTCTAGGCACCATGACTCAGACCTGTAATAACAGGGCTTTGGGAGGCTGAGGCAGGAGGACCACTTAAAGCCAGGAGTTTGGGACTAGCTTGGTGAACACAGTGAGACCCTGTTTACCCAAAAAATTTAAAACACACACCCGTAGTCCCAGTTACTTGCAGGGGCTCCGATGGGAGGATCCCTTGAGCCTAGGAGTTCAAGGCTACAGTGGGCTTTGATAACACCACTGCACTTCAGCCTGGGTGGCAGACTGAGACCCTGTCTCTAAAATAAATAAATAAGAATACAGCCCTTAGATCTGCCATGCCAAATAAATGGAACATGTCCTAATATTTTCCTCTAGGCCTAAAATTGTGAGGGACATCACTAGTCAATCATGGCCCCCTAAACATGACCTCAGAACCCTAAACATTGTTTGCTACATAGCAGTTACCAACAGATCAGATGAAACCCAGTGAGATCTACTTGCTGCCTAGCCTGAGACCTTCTGTGAGCCACAGAGTTGGGAGGGGTCATCCAACTGCACTCTTGCATCTCTTACCAGTCTCTGAATCAGACAAAAAAGCAGTGGCTCACACATTTCCTCCAGGAAGCCTTCCCAGCCAACCTCATCCTCTCCAGTCAACCCAGAACTACCTTAGCACTAAGCTCCTAATTCTCAAATATTCACAGGCAGATTTCTCTCAATATCACTTTTTTCATGAAAATGTGTTCTACCTCTCCTGTTAAACCACAAACTTCTGAGGGCCATCCCTCCTCCTCTGGAATTTTCCAACAAAGCCTAAAATAAGCCTATGTAAGATGTTGGAGCTGTTACTGCTGTAAACTGCAAACATAAAACCAAGGAACAGGCCGGGTGTGGTAGCTCATAACTGTAATCCCAACTATTAAGGGGACAGAGGCCTAAGATCACTTGAGCCTAGAAGATCAAGACCAACCTGGGCAATATAGTGAGACCCTATCTCCACATACACAAAAATAGGCATGGTGGTGTGCACCTGTGGTCCCAGCCACTCAGAGGGCTGAGACAGGAGTTATCTGACCAAATGGAAAAGAAAACAGAGTTACATAAAGAGTATAAAGTTGGGAGGCTTAGGCGGGAGGATCACCTGAGTCTAGGAGTTCAAAGCTACAGTGAGCTATGATCACACCACCATACTCCAGCCTGGGCAACAGAGTGAGACCCTATCTGAGAAAAAAAAAAAAAAAAAAAAAAAACAAGCAATCTCAGGAGCTGGGAAGGCCCTCAGTAGTTTTGGTCCACCTTCCTTCCCATGCTAAAATTTTCCTCTATGTGCTTTAAGTGACAGACAGCATAGCGGTCAAAGCACAGGCTTTGGGGACAGAAGACCTGGATTCAAATCCCAGCTCTCTCACTTACCAGCTGTATGACCTTAGGCAAGGTGCTTCACCTCTCTCAGCCTCAATAACCTCATGTGTATAATTCAACCATGATAATCTATGTCAAAAGTCTGAGGGTAAAATGAAACAACACTTATAAAGTGCCTAGCACAATCCCTGTATACAGAAAATGTTACATACATTTAGCTAGTATTACTGATTCTATTGCCAATTCCATAGTTAGATAATTCTTAACTATTAGAAGGTCTTTCCAATAGTAAGCCAAGAATCCGTTGCTAAGAAATGTTCCCTGATAGCTCAGGTTCTGCCTTCTGCTCAACTGGGGGGCACCCCAGGATTCTCCAGCTAAGGTAAGCTAAGTATGCCCAGTTCCCTTCCATTCAACACACATCATTGTTTCCCGGTCCCTCAGTATTGTGGCTACCTTGCTCTGTACTTTGTCAGCAAAGCTAGAGTTTTGCACATCTGCACACTAACAGAGAATATACACTCATAGGCATAATAAGGGTTCCCTGCATATTTATGTCTTCCACCCTGCTCCAACAATTATAAAGAAGGTTGACCACAGAAAAGAATGACTGGAGAAGGAACTGGGGAGAAGGTGGAAGATGTGAGAATTGATTACGAAGTGGTAATGAGCAAACGTTTTAGAACATTTTTGGCTTTGAATCCCAGCTCTGCCTCTTACTAGATGGGCAGCCTCAGTTTTCTCATCTATAAAATGAGAGTAATAACACTGCCCATCGCAATGTGTTGTGAGGCTTACATGATTCAACACATGTAAAGTGCTTAAAAAATACTAAAATCTCAATAAGTGTTAGACATTACATTATTATTATTGCTATTCACATATTTAAAGGGCTTATTCTACATTTCTCCAAAGGACATATCCAGCACCAGGGAATATAAGTAAGGCCATTCAGACATTAATGACTTTTTTTTTTTTAGATGGAGTATCGCTCTACTAATAATACAAAAATTAACCAAGTGTGGCGGCACATGCCTGTAATCCCAGGTACTCAGGAGGCTGAAGCAGGAGAATCGTTTGAAACGGAGAGGCAGAGGTGGCAGTGAGCCAAGATCGCACCATGGCACTCCAGCCTGGGCAACAAGAGTGAAACTCCGTCCCAAAAAAAAAAAAAAAACTTGCAAAAGGTTTAACAGCTAATAAATGGTAGAATATGTAGGTATCCATGTCTGACTCCAAATCCTAAACTCTTAATTACTCTGACATGACTAGAGTGCAAAGTACAGTGGGAAGAGTGGCAAGAGAGAGCTCTAGAATGAAAGGCAAGCTGGGCACGGTGGCTCACGCCTGTAATCCTAACACTTTGGGAGGCCGAGGTGGTGGATCACCTGAGGTCAGGAGTTCAAGACCAGCCTGGCCATCATATTGAAACCCTATCTTTGAAAAAGAAAAAGAAAAAGGAAAGGCAAGAGCATATTATAAAGGGCATGGAAGAACTGAGGCTCTATCCTGTAAATGATGACGGGCCATCACAGAATTTCACAAAGGAGACTGGCATGATCAGATCTGTAGGTCAGACAGATGATTCTAACCAGGCATGGTGGTGCATGCCTGTAGTCCCAGCTACTCAGGAGACTGGGGTGGGAGAATGGCTTGAGAGCAAGAGTTTGAGTTTGCAGTGTGCTAGGGTCAAACCCGTGAATAGCAACTGCACTCCAGCCTGGGCAACATAGCAAGACCCTGTCTCTAAAATAAATAAATTATTCTGATAGCTGCATAAGAACTAATTACAGGAGGACAAGGATTGAGGCGGAGAGACCACTTAGGAAGTTATCCTGAAAGCACAAGCAAGAAACTATGAACTAGGTCAGTGGCTGTGAGGATGGAAAGGAAGGGCCAGATTCTGGGGGAATTAAGAGGCAGAATACAGGACTTGAACTTCAGGAGAGAGGAGGGAAATCAGAGCACTAAAGCCAGAACACTATGATGATCTGTTCATTTCTAGGCCTCGTCCTATAGGCAGCCCCACCTACCACACTGCCTAGAAGACAGGACATTTCCGACAAATATCTGCTGTCTGTATTAGATGAATAAATTCCAGGGGCAGACTTGGCTGAGTGAGTGAAGCCTTCCACTGAGATAATACAAGAGGAGGCACAGATCCGAGGGACCAAGGAAGGCTAACGATGACAGTAAGCAGGTCTGAGTTCAGGAAAGCGGTCTGGCTGATGAGTAGTTTGGGGAGTCAGTGCTGAAAAGCTGATAACGCAAGAGATGGAGTGCGCTGAGTAGAAGGGAGGGCTTTCTCCTGCAAAGGACTGAGTTAGGAGAACCGACCGACAGGGAGTCGCGGAAGCCCAGTGAGGAGAGCGGTGCCAGAGGTAGAGGGAGATTTTTAAATCAATGCAAGCAGAAAAAACAAGCTTTCCAACTTTCCCAAAAGATGGCATAAGGTTGGGCTAGCCCCGGATCTGGACCCTGGGGAGCCTGCCACAGAAGTATGCCAGCAAGCTTCGGAAGGCCTGGCCTCACTCGCCTACGAGGAACAGAACAGCAAACCAGCGCCAGGTGCCCAGAGCCCCTCTCCCGCGTCCCGACCCGGTGCTCACTCACCCGCCGGACCCCAGCCCGGCCCGACCGCCCGCTCAGGAGCCGCCGAGATTTCAAACTGAGGCACCCTCGCCCAGTCGGCCGTTTTCACGTCTTCCCTCAGTCCCCGCCCACACTGGGGCGCTACCCGCTCGCTGGCTCGCGAGCGTGCCGCAGCTCCCCCGCCACGCTCCCTTCCCCGCCGCCCCTCTCCCTTCAGGAGGTCCTCACCTATCCCCCACCCCGGAAGGCTGCAGGCGAGGCTCCGGGCTAGGCGCAGCTCCCCCAACGCCACCCAAAACCCACCCTCCCCGCTTCCAGGGACGCCAGGGTGTTGCCCTGCAGCGCCCAACAAACACTTCCGGAAAAGGTACCGGCCTAGCAACTGAGAGTCCCGCCTCCAGCCGGAGCCAATAGGTCGCCGGGTGAGAGCTCTGACACTGGATTGGCTCAAGCTTCCGTCGGTGCACGCGTTGAGCTCTGCCAGTTTTCCGTTGCACGATGGGAGTGTAGTTTAGGATAGGTAACGGAAATCTGCATGAGGTTAAAAGAGAACCCCGAATTTAGACGTGAGGATTTCTGCCAGGACAGAAAAGGACTATGCAGAGTATTTATAGTAACGTGAATTATCTAAGGCAGTTTATTGATGATTTGTTAGGAGTATGATCATCGGGTGAATAATACAGTGGTCATCAATAATCAACTCATTGGCCCTTTAATAACAAAAGAAATGTGAATGTAAGGTAATGAAGACGCCCCTACGCCCCATCTCTCCCCGCAAAAAAATGGCTCTCCTGTGCTTCGATTAAACCAATGAGCACCTGACCAGGAGTTAGACCTATTTTCTGTTATCCATCTTTTCACCAAAGTCCAGGGTTCAGTTTGAATATGCCTGCATGATGAGGATAGTAATGTCTGTCATAACTTTTTTTTTTTTTTTGAGACGGAGTTTCGCTCTCGTTACCCAGGCTGGAGTGCAATGGCGCAATCTCAGCTCACCTCCGCCTCCTGGGTTCAGGCAATTCTGCCTCAGCCTCCTGAGTAGCTGGGATTACAGGCACGTGCCACCATGCCCAGCTAATTTTTTGTATTTTTAGTAGAGACGGGGTTTCACCATGTTGACCAGGATAGTCTCGATCTCTTGACTTCTTGATCCACCCGCCTCGGCCTCCCAAAGTGCTGGGATTACAGGCGTGAGCCACCGCGCCCGGCCTGTCATAACTATTTTAAAGAGTCTGTTGAAGAAGAAAAACAAAGTGACACAGTATGTATCTCCTCCACACATCCTGTCTGGCAGAAACGTTGCTACTAATATAATTTCAAAGAGTTTTGGTTTTGCTTGAACAAGGGCAGATCTTCCTTTCTCTCGTATGTCGCCAACCTCCAAGAGAAGTTAAGAGGGGCAAAGACAGTTCTGGCCATAACATCAGTGGGAAAACTGAAAAACAGACAAATACAGACGCTGCTAGTTGAAGAGGAAAATGGTGAGACCGAGCTCCTAAAGCTGCTTCTGACAGGTTCTAGATATGTATCCGACTCAGACTAGTCCCAGCGCCACTCAGAGGCTGATTCCAGAATGAAAAACTCTGATTATTGGAATATACAGAATATGCAGAGCATATTCCTTGTGAAAGCTGTCAAAATCAGGAGTCATTTGTGTTAAAACCCTGACAAATAGAGCCAGGGAAGGCCATAAAGAGAGAGTTCTCAGGCACGAATGCCTGATAACAAGAACCATCGACCGGGCCTGGTGGCTCATACCTGTAATTCTAGCACTTTGGGAGGCTGAGGTGGGAGGATCACTTAAGCCCAAGAATTCAAGACCAACCTGGGCAACATGACAAGACCCTGTCTCTATTTAAAAAAAAAAAAAAAAGTATATATATATGTATGTATGTATATACGTGTGTATATATATATATATATATATATATATATATATGTTAGCCAGGCGTGGTGGCACGTGCCTGTGATCCTAACTACTCAGGAGGCTGGGGTGGGAGGATCACTTGAGCCTGGGAAGTTAAGGCTGCAGTGAGCAGAAAACAAGCCACTGCACTCTGGCCTGGGCAACAGAGTGAGACCCTGTCTCAAAAAAAAAAAAAAAAAAGCCAGGAACTATCACAAAAGAATGCAAAAACCACAGCCTTGCACAAAGGCTATCATGAACTTACACACACACACACACACACACACACACACACACACACAAAAGGCCGGGCGCGGTGGCTCAAGCCTGTAATCCCAGCACTTTGGGAGACCGAGGCGGGTGGATCATGAGGTCAAGAGATCAAGACCATCCTGGTCAACATGGTGAAACCCCGTCTCTACTAAAAATACAAAAAAATTAGTTGGGCATGGTGGTGCGTGCCTGTAATCCCAGCTGCTCAGGAGGCTGAGGCAGGAGAATTGCCTGAACCCAGGAGGCGGAGGTTGCGGTGAGCCGAGATCGCGCCATTGCACTCCAGCCTGGGTAACAAGAGTGAAACTCCGTCTCAGAAAAAAAAAAAAAAAAAACCCTCTGCAAGACCATCTGTGCAGCAATTGCCTGTCCAGCCTTGGACTGATGCTGCCTCTGTTATTGAGACTTGTAGTCAAGGATTATTGTTTCAAAACTGTTTATGTAATCATATTCATTTTGCCTTTAAAAATTCCTACTTGCCCAGCCTCTATGGCATGTCTATTCTCATTGCAATGCTACTTCTGAATAAATATCATTCTTTGTTGGAGTTTCCCTCTCTGTTATTTAGATTGATGTTCCTCATGTTTAAGTTTTTCTGCAGCAGTCATACCTATACTTCCTTTATTCTTACTGCAGATGACAAATCATTGATCCCCCTTCCTCTCCACCTTCTTTAAAAGTCTAAGCCAAGCACGTGGTTCATACCTGTAATCCCAGCACTTTGGGAGGCTGAGGCAGGCAGATCGCCTGAGGTCAGGAGTTTGAGACCAGCCTGGCCAACATAGTGAAACCCTGTCTCTACTAAAGATCCACAGATTAGCTGGGTGTGGTGGCAGGCACCTGTAATCTCAGCTACTCAGGAGGCTGAGGCAGGAGAATCATTTGAACCCAGGAGGCAGGGGTTGCAGAAAGCCAAGATCACACCACTGCACTCCAGCCTGGGTGACAGAGTAAGACTCTGTCTCAAAAATAAATAAATAAATAAATAATTGAAAAATAAATAAAAGTCTCACTGAGGGGCCAAGGCGACCAGACTGGAAAGGAACTCTAAGGCTCACCAGCTCATCTACTACAAGCCTGTACAAAACAGGGATTCAAAAAAACATCTGTAGACTTGGTCCTATATCTAAGAATTTGCAATCTTTGCAATCAATCTGGTTTATTTTATTTTATTTTATTTCTATTTTTTTTTTTTGAGACGCAGTCTTACTCTGTCGCCACCATGCCAGGCTAATTTTTGTATTTTTATTAGAGACAGGGTTTTACCATGTTGGCCAGGCTGGTCTTGAATTCCTAACCTCAGGCAATCCACCAGCCTCAGCCTTCCAAAGTGCTGGGATTACAGGCATGAGCCACTGTGCCCAGCCCTGTTGATTTTAATTGCCATCCAAATGCTTAACTCCTGTGCCTTAGCATGGGTTCCTTTCTCTCTCTCGGGAAGAGCTAATAAAATAAGAGATACTATGGGATTAACAGGATTACCTTCACTCAGATCAACAATTTGCATTTTATCAGGTTTCCCCATAGGTTTGTACTTAGAAATGCAAGCCAATTTATAAAATGCCCCAAGGCAAACATAATTAAGAAAGTAATCTATGGGGGGAAAATAACAAAAATGACACATTTTTTTTTTTTTTTTTTTTTTTTTTGTGAGGGAGTTTCTCTGTCACCCAGGATGGAGTGCAGTGGTGCAATCTCCGCTCACTATAACCTCTGCCTCCCAGGTTCAAGTGATTCTCCTGCCTCAGCCTCCCAAGAAGCTGGGACTACAGGCATGCACCACCATGCCTGGCTAAGTTTTGTAATTTTTAGTAGAAATGGGGTGTCGCCATGTTGGCCAGACTGCTCTTGAACTCCTGATCTCAGGTGATCTGCCTGCCTTGGCCTCCCAAAGTGCTGAGATTACAAGCGTGAGCCACCACACCCAGCCTGACACACTGAGATACCAATAATATACTCAATTAATGAGGAAGAGAGATAGGACTTCATTCATTATAGTTTATCTTCTACAGTAAGAATGAACATTTAGGGGTCATATTTCAAAGACAGGAAAGAATTGATGACAAATTTTTTCCCTACTCCTAGGTCAGAAACTCCACTATTAGAACTTTTTCTTTTTTCTTTTTCTTTTTTTTCTTTTTTTTTTTTTTTTTTTTTGAGACGGAGTTTCGCTCTTGTTACCCAGGCTGGAGTGCAATGGCGCGATCTCGGCTCACCGCAACCTCTGCCTCCTGGGCTCAGGCAATTCTCCTGTCTCGGCCTCCTGAGTAGCTGGGATTACAGGCACGCGCCACCATGCCCAGCTAATTTTTTGTATTTTTAGTAGAGACGGGGTTTCACTATGTTGACCAGGATGGTCTCGATCTCTTGACCTCGTGATCCACCCGCCTCGGCCTCCCAAAGTGCTGGGATTACAGGCTTGAGCCACCGCGCCCGGCCTCTTTTTCTTTTTTTTTTGAGGCAGAGTCTTGCTCTGTCGCCCAGGCTGGAGTGCAATGGTGCGGTCTCCGCTCACTGTAATCTCCACTTCCTGGGTTCAAGCAAGTCTCCTGCCTCAGCCTCCTGCATAGCTGGGATTACAGGCATGCGCCACCACGCCCAGCTAATTTTTGTATTTTTAGTAGACACAGGGTTTCACCATATTGGCAGGGCTAGTCTTGATCTCCTGACCTTGTGATCTGCCCACCTCGATCTCCTAAAGTGCTGGGATTACAGGTGTGAGCCACTGTATCCAGCCTAGAACTTTTTCTTATAACTTAACAGCCAAAAAACAAACAAACAAACAAAACCCCAAATAACTGGATTTTAAAACGGGCAAACTGCCTTAAAAGACATTTCTCAAAAGAAGATATACAAATGGCCAGTACATGGAAAAAATGTTCAACATCACTAACCGTGAGGGAAATGCAAACCAAAACCACAATGAGATACCACCATTCCGGTTAAAATGGCTACAATAAAACAAAGGAAAACAAGGGTTGGTGAGGATGTGGAGAAGAGGATATACTTACCATGTTGGTGGGATTGTAAATTAGTACAGTCACTATGGAAACTGTATGGTGGCTCCTCAAAAAATTAAAATTAGAACTACCGCACTATCCAGCAATCCCAATTCTCGATGTATATCCAAAGGAAATGACATTAGTATGTTAAAAAGATCTCAGCACTCCCATGTTAATTGCAGCATTATTTACACTACTCAAGATATGCAGTGAACCCAGGTGTCCAACGACAGATGAAAGGATAAATAAAATGTGATATATATATATACATACATACATACAATGACATACTATTTAGCCATAAAAAATAATGAAATCCTGCCTTTTGCAACAACCATGAATGAACCTGG